TTACGAGAAAATTTTAGAGTTACCGCCTACTGAACCATCGGAAGTTGTGAATCAAGAAGTTCCTGTACAAAATAAAAATGTACAAACCATATGCATAACTGAAGAAATGATAAAGATTGATGATTCATCTGTACCGTGTTCTTTTATAAAAATATCCATTATCTTTTCCAGAAAGAAGATACCGAGGCAGAAGAAATAGAAATTCCAATTCCTAAAACAGATACGGAAGATAAAAAGCGAGCAGATTCAGAAATAGATCCAAAAATAGACTCATAAAGAGATTTAATGGAAGCTCAATAATATTAAAAGCTACTTTTTTATCTGAAGACTATTTTATGTTTTTTTTTTGTAATAAAAATTAATTATTATAATAATATTACTGAAAGTGATAGAATTTGTGTATTAAATTTCCAAATATAATCTAATATCTATGCTATACAAATAAACATAAAAAATATATTAACATTGTAGTTCGATCAATTATGTAACATTATAATTGCATGTCTAAATGCTATATTAAATTTATCATATTTTTCAATATTGATCGATTGTGTGATGTGTCGTTATATCAGTAAATTAATAACAACTAAATTGTTTTAGTTTATGTACATTCCGAAAAATATATCCTTCACTTTAGATGTCTATAAAATAGTGAATTATGTAATTGGTGATAAAATGTCAAGCCAAATCATATTCTGATCAATGTTTAATATGAATACAGTCTTTTATATATGTCAATGATTATATATAACTTTACATATATATATATATATGTATGTATATATATAAGTATAATGAAATCAATTATACACATGTTAAAGAAGTTGTAACACTATAATTAAGATTAAAGTTATTTAATGTTATTAAAACAATATTTTGACATTTTATTAAAATAGTATTTTAATGAAATTGTATATTGATATGCATTTTATTAAAATATTATTTTAATAAAATGTACATTAATATGTTATTATAACATAGTTTATTGTCTTTATTCTTTTTCAATTTCTTAATAAATGCACAATAAAATTATATTTTTAATCAATTTTACATTGGCATTTATCTGAAAAGACATTTTTTTAAAAATATGTTTTGTTAATACACATATATATATATACATATATATACATATATACGTATATATTAACAAAATATCTATATATTAAACATTCCATGTGTGAAGAGCCATCCTATTACGTCAAAATAAAAAGTATCCTTCCTGATGATAAAGGAAATCACTTAACATGGAATGCTCGATATATATATACATATCCTAGATACACAGGAATCTTAAGTAAAGCACTAATAAACTCAACAAAAAAACATTAGTTTATATATTGTTTCCTATAACTGGACAAGAAGCAATTTTATAAAAATTAATGCTTAAACTTTCTTACAAGTATTACTTGAAAATAACTTTTAACAAGTTAAAATTTAAGTGTATCGAGTATATGTCGTAATCATTATATCTATTTCGCCACAACAGTTACAAAATGCATTTTATAAAGAGTATAATAATTCTGCAAAAACCTTCACACTTGAACTATTATTGTAAAATGGGTCAAATTAGCGCGGGCATGATGAATCAATGAGATAATCATCTAATGTAGACTTCGAAAGTAAATTCGACATAAATTGTTTGAACTTTACATCTTTCGCGTCGCTTGACGTTTTTCTTTCTACTATGAGCTTGCGTTTCTTGGCTTGCAATTCGTTCGTCTGCTGAAGTGGCTCGGCATCGGTGTTGATAATATGTGTTTTCCGTTTGCGATTTTCTAACGAATCGGGATTCTGAGTTCCTTCCCGTGCACGACTCACTTCGGTAGTCAAATCTACCATTTTCTGCTCCCATTCCTCGAGATGCTTTCGCACCTCGGCTAACAGTGTGTCTTGATCATGTATCTTTTTTGCCTGCTTATGTAGCTTTAAAGTTTGCTGTCGCATCAGATACTCTTGTCTCTGTATCCTGAGTCTCATTCTAGTGATTTCATTTCTCATAGACAAAAAGAACATTTTGTTCTTTTTCGTACGATCATTAATCTTCTTAAAAGTTTGATTAAGCTTCTCGGAGCAGGTTATATTATGATTGTTGCAATGCGGCAGTGTGGAGTTATTTATGTTCCTACCATGGGAGATCATGACGCCACCAGGTAAATCATATGAATTTACAGTACCAACCATGGACGTGCAAATGTTGTGCTTCAGATCTGGCAGGATCTTCTCATCAAAATGCTCCATGGCCATACTGCTTATATCCCGCAGTTCCTGAAGTATCTCGTGTGCTCTAGGTGGTGTTTTTGTCTCTCGAATCAATCGAAGAACACGGAAAATTTCATCGATTACCTAAAACATAATGCAACATACTTATTATTCAATAATATTATATTTGTAAGTTGAATGAGTACAACATGAATAAGAGTTTGTCTCTTGGAATATATGAGAAGTATTATAAGGTCCTTATTCCATAACTCTTAATGAATAGTTATTGGTGCCCTTACATAAGATCTGTTTTCTGTGGCTGAATTATTTATACTTTAGGTTAAAGTATACTATTAAAGTATACTTTAGGTTTGTTCACATTGCATGCTCGAATATGCTTCAACGTGTTGTTACCATAAAATCTTATATATTCCAACACATTTGTTAGAAAGAGGAATTATAGAGTTTCAATTGCAATATTCCTAGACACTTTCGTGCACACGACGACACAAGTTGTGTTCCATTTGTCTGTTATCGTCGACATAACACTACTCATCTGTACTCAGTCAAGGGCGGTGTAAGCTTGTTTTCTAATGACAATTACATGTTACTAACTCCGGCGGCTATAAATTAGATTGGAAGACATTAAGTGACCAGCATTTTTACTTTTTTTTGTTTAATACAGGTGGAAAAAGCTACATTTAATCTAACTCTATCCAAAACGGATCTCAACCGTGCACAGCATACACATTCTGTTCCAATTAAATCATGCACAATGTTACATTTTGTGCATTCTTGTGTGTTGGTGTTAAGCAATTGGAAAACACCCATAGTAGGAGCATGTTGGAACATGTTGGAGCACACAATGTAAACAAATCTTTTTAGAACTCAAAATGAAATAGATATGTCTGATATTTGGAGAAAGCAAGAAAGAAAATTTTAGAACAATCTAGTATATAAATAAAAAAAACAGACTTATTATCATTGCTATAGTTTTTTACCATGTGTAAAATCTAAACAATAACAATGTAATAACATTAAGTTAAGAGAATAGGAGTTTAAACGTAACAAATATTTATACATCAAGTAATGATATAGAAATCAATTTTTTATGAGGCAAAAATTTATTAGGCATTACCTATAATTGAAGAAATAGGGAGAATAGAGAATAAGAATTTCAATTTATCAGAAATTATGTACTATGGAATATGTAGTTTCTAATAAGTTGAAACTTTTTTCCCTGTTTTCTGTTCCTTATTTCTTTGATTGTATATAGCCCTTTACCTTTCCTGGTATAAAGCAACAAACGTTCAGATCAACATATTTGATAAAAGTCATGGATAGCATAGAGATTCTCGTTTCTATTGCCGTCAAGATATCGCAATGACGCGCGAGAGGATGACTCCGTCGCTCGGACTCCCTTCTCGGGAGCTTGCTTTTGACCGTGCGGAGGCATTGTGCATGATACTTCTCCATGAGATTGAAGCCACGGTTGAGCAGCTTCTTACAGATCCGATCAAACTGTCTGCAAACCTAAAAAAAACACATTGTGGAACCTATGCTTCGCAAAGTATACATATGAGGAAGTGAAAAAGAATCCTCCTCGTGGATATTAAAGAGCGAACTTACGATCCTATATTTAGAAATTTCATCGTAGGAGAGGTTAGACAAAATCGCCTCCAAGCAAACATCGGGAAGATTTATCAGTTGCAATTGCGCGTAATCGTTTGTTTGTTGCGCGGTAGAATTATATAAACGTTCGTCAATCATGTCACCTGTTCCTTCCCATTCCAAGGACGACGCGAAATGTACTTTCTTCATCATGAAATCCAGGCCGTGACCGTAATTAATACCAATCGACACGATCAACTGCACCCATGCACCGGGGTGTTGCACCAAAGTTCAGATCGTAGTGAAAGTATTAAGGTGCAATTTCATGCAGCGAAGCTTCGCTCAAAGTTCAACACTGTCCAACTATGAGCAAAGCAACGCTGACTCTGGCTGTGGCTCACTTGATTGGCTAAATATTTCGAAGCATTTTTTGATTGGTCAATTTTTGGAATTGTTTGTTCAACGCTCCTTTATTTACAGCATAGCATTTATTTGCACTTCAAAACTCTTCATACGAAATACAAACGATTTAAAATAATAATTTTTACAACCGGAGGTTTTGTCCGGTCAAGTACATACGAATGTATGTTGGAGCATGCGACGCGAACAAACCTGTAGTTACGGATCGCGCCCCAGGTTATAGCGGGGAGCACAGACTCTTGCATAACGCATAACACATGAGGCATAAGAAATTGAACCAACCAGAGTTCTCTATTACATGGAAGGGAAAGAAACGGAGAACTTCGATTGGTACATATTTTTATGCATTACGTGTTATGCGTTATGCAAGAGTCTGTGCTCCCCGCTTATCTCTTTCACCATGTGGAAAACTTTACAGCGTTTTCGGCCCGGCCAGGTTTGCACCACCCTGGGTTGGATTAATCTTTCCTATTGGTTGACGTTACCCGCTCTACCAATAGGAGAGCACAAAACGCTATTAATCCAACCCAGGTTGGTGCAAACCTGGCCGGGCCGAAAACGCTATTAGTTTGTTTTGTACAGCTGGATCAAACGGACAGGATAGGTTGAAGACACTTATTGTCGCCACTGTCGCCAGCCGGCGACACTGAGCAAAGAAAAAAAGGATCAAACGGTCAGCTGTAAAATAGTTCCAGGTTCTAGTGGGTTCCGGTGGATTGTTTGTATATAATTGTTTCCAGAACATTTTAAAATAGGAGAGTTAAAAATATCCGTCTGTTAATTCTTTATCCGTAAATATGTATAATATTTCCATGTAAAAGAGGAAAAGAAAGAAATTTTTAATTCTCACTTCGTTTACATGACATTACAACGACAGAGTAAATGCAAAGTGTCTCGTCGAAGAAAAGGCATACGGTAACAAATATTTCGTTCATCACGTAGCAAGGATGGCACTTTCTTCGAAAGACATCGCGAAATTGTTGGATCTCCTCAATGAGGAAAACTTGGACACCACCTTGGAGAACCTTTGCAATCAACTGCATCAGAGCTTCCCTAAGGAAGAGCGCTTTAAGGTTGGAACAGTATTGCTGCTGCAGTTGCAGCAGGTCGATCTATTGCCTAAGCACACTCAACGTGTTGTAGCATTGACGTTGCTGTTTGACTTGTACCGAGGGGAACCATTAGCTTCCACGCCTTTTGCTTCTGTATTTGTACAAATGCTAAAGTCTCAGGAGGACATTAACAATGGAAGCTCGAAACCATCCAGCCACACCGGTCATATACCGTTCCTGTCAAATTGTGAAAAGAACCTACTCGTCAATTTGATGGGATATAATCAGAAAGACGTCATCAAGAAGACGCCACGCCAGATCGTGGATGAATTCTCATTCTCTACAGTACCGTCTATTGATCTGACCAATTTGCAATTGCAATTGGCGGAACATCAGTCCGAACTGCCAGCCGTTAGCAAATGCGGAAATCCTATAATACTGCCTGACATGGATCACTCCAAAGGAACAGAATACGACACGGCTACCGTGAAAAATATAATAGAAAACCTTGTTACTGGTGATCCGCCCCTATGTAGGCAGAGTTATCGTCCAGAGTTTCTGAGGCTTGTACCACCAATTTATCATTCTATCAATGAGATTGCTTGGTTCCATATCACCGAACCGACTCAGTTTACGGTCGAGTATGATCCTAGCATGTGTGTGTCAAACTGTGTCAGCTTTGAGGCACGTAAACTCATGGGCAAAGCCTTCAAAAATGTTTTAACATTGATGCAACAACAAAACTTGATTGGTGAATTGGAAAAGGATCCGAAGCTCGTTTATCACATTGGATTGACACCACCCAAATTACCAGATCTGGTTGAGAACAATCCTCTAATAGCCATTGAGGTTTTACTGAAGCTAATGCAGTCCAGCCAGATCACAGAATATTTTAGTGTGCTGGTGAATATGGAAATGTCTCTTCATTCCATGGAGGTCGTGAATAGATTAACTACCACTGTGGATCTACCGACGGAATTTGTACATTTATATATCAGTAACTGTATATCCACTTGCGAAACTATCAAAGATCGTTACATGCAAAACCGACTGGTGCGACTTGTTTGTGTATTTCTGCAGTCCCTGATAAGAAATAAGATCATAAATGTGCAAGAACTATTTATCGAGATTCAAGCATTCTGTGTGGAATTTAGTCGCATTAGGGAAGCAGCTGCATTATTTCGACTCCTGAAACAACTTGAGTCTGGTGATACCGGTGGACTCAATGCTCCACCTACAAGATGTAGAACTGATATGTGTTAAAACATGTAACTATATCTATAAATATTATCTGCAACATTTATATAAAAAAAATACAATTAAAAAATTAGTTAATTAAAGAATATGATAAATGATGTTTCATAGGAAATATTATTTTATATTTGTTAAATTCTAATTAGATATATACCCATATTCTTTATATATCTAATCGAATGAAATGATATTGAAAGTTTATATTATTAATTCTTTATGATCACAATGGGAGTCCAGGGGACCCCAAAAAGATTTTATATTTTTAAGATCTTTTTTTAAAACGACTTGAACTGCCTTTTATCCTAAATTCAAAATATTCTTTTTGCATCTTCGGCCGCATATTGTTCCATGGATGTCAGTCTTAGCGATTTTTAAAAATATGTTAAAATTAAAAATTTTAAAAAGCCACTGCATTTTCATATTTTATAATATTTAAAGTATGTTCAGTAATTTTTGTGATTTTAAGGAACAAAAGCCGTAAATATGGCAATCAATTAAAATGTTGGAACCATCTTGCTCCCTATGTGACCAACAAAATTCTCAGGAGGTGATCATGAAGAATTAACAATATTAAGTGAAAATGGATTAAGAGTTAAAGATCTTGGTGTCTAATATTTAAATAAAACCTCAGTGATTGAATTGGTAAGACTCATGAACTTTGGGAGATCCAAGTTTTCGAATTGCGGCCGAGATATTTTTCACAATAAATTCTTTACAATATTTTTAAAGACGCTCATGAACAACAATATTAAATTGTTTGTTAATTCAACTTGTGATATTACATACTCCGGCTTCATAGTTTAGGACTATGTTTCAAACTTGTTCAAAATTAATAAATAATCGGCACGCAATTTTGCTTGAACTAAAAATTCATACAAAAATATTATTAGACACCCTCCTTGACCAAATATGGTCCTCTTCACTCATTTGTGTTTATATTATTAAGTTATTATAATCAGAAAATAAGTTCTCAAATATTGATCATATGTAAAAACACTATCAAATGTAACATATAATAAAAATACCATCTTGTTTAACAAGACATGTCGAACTTTTGTCTTGTTGAACATGTTGAACATTGTCTTAAAGGAAATCTTACAAAAATTCATATGATCTTAATATTGTATGTAGGAATGAATATAAGTTTGTTATATGAAACATTGAGAATAATATATTTGCATAAATAACTTCTAATCTAGAATTTGGCATACGTTTTTTTTTGTACTTTTTGGCGACGTTATGTAAAACATTCTATTATATAACAAACAAATATCTTTCAATTTATGTAAATAACGAATTTGTAATTGTAAAATTTTGATGTATTTGTATTTATTATATTCCAGACTTCAAGTACAAAAGAAACGAATTACAATAATAAATATCGCAATTGATACAATTTCGTTTTATGTTCTTTAAACAAATATCTTATTTATTAATATATACACACACACACACATACACACATATATATATGTGTATGTATACATACATTTCATGATGTTGATTGGTATATAATTGGTAAGCTTTCGTTTTAATATTTATAGAAATGTTATAAAAAAATGAACAAAAATTTATTACATGCATTAAACATGCATATAATTTGCATAAAGTGATATATGATAAATCTCACAAACTGTTACAATTATAAATGTTGACATGATAAATGTCTATTATAATTTAATATCTTTGTATAATTAATAGATATGCATGATCCGATACAACTCGAACAATATTAACCATGGTATTAGCAATGGATCATGATACGGCGATAATCCACAAACCTGGCATTATTTAAGCATTGTTTACAGACAAAATTATATAGATTGCAACATTTTGGTCAACATATGATTGACATAATTCTTATGAGTTGGCGTTTGGCCTTATTGCTGTTATTGATCTAACAAATAATTTTGTTTATTTTAAATTATCCTTGAAGACACACGGTTTATATTACAAACATACCTCAGGATTAAATAATATTTTCACATCTTGTACACGCAACACAATTATAATACTACAAGTTATTAATGCATAAATTATAATGGAGTAATTACTAATATAACACAATAAAATCGCTATCAAAATAGTTTATTGATTTTACTTGCAAATTGATGTATATACCTTATATACACCCATTCATATATATATATATATATTATATATATATATATATATATTTTTAAAAATGGAATTAAATATAATTATATCACTAGTAATAATTTATACACATAACTTATTATACATAACTGATTCATATACGCATTAAAAATGGACATTACTTTGCATTTTTCGAAGTGTCTTGCGTATTTAATTTGCCAATATAACATAAGGCGAAAAATATATAATTTTTATTAGAACTAAGAAAATATACTACAAATTTGTCACATTGTGTAATAAGCTACACAACGTTTATGATACAGTACATAGATGTATATAAAGTAGAAAACCGAAAAAAAGATCTGTTCAGAACCAGCATAGAGGTATTCCATTAACGACACTTATTGGTATCTTAAATATCACTGACATATAATTTCTTATATTTTTCTTGTAATAATTAAAACACCGATATATAAATATCGTTACTGCATTACAGAACAAACGTAGAACAGACGTAGAATGTTTGAATGCTGACATAGAACAGAATCATTTACATTTTTGTCCCGTAGTTTACAAAATACAATTCCTGCTATCTAAACTACATTGCACAACATAACAATCTTCTACTTCTTTTTTACAGTCTTCACTTTTACTACACTTTTTGTAGTTTTCCCTTTAGCCGCCATTGATTTTGTTTTTAGCGATGACTTCATTTTCATCTTGACATCACTCTTGGGCACCTTCTTCGTTTTTATACTCTTCACTCCGTCTTTGTTATCTTTCGCTTTGACTTTGGTAATGCTTGGTATAATTACACCGGGTCTTATGCAGTTAGACCCGGTTGACTTATACTAGGCCGTTACTTTCACTTTCTTTTTCCGTTTTTTCTTCTTCTTATCGTGAAGTAGTTCTTGTTTTTTCGCTATACAAAAGCGGCAGTACCAATCCTCATCTTCAGCCGGTGGGACTTGCATACCGACACACACCCTGAAATATTAAAAAGATAGTAAGATTTTTGTTATTTTTATTAATTTCAACGTTATGCGATGTAAATTATAATAAGTTATTTACCAATGATACCAAGCGTCACAATCATCGCAGCCGATCATTGGCGAGCCATCATCCTGGTTGCCGCATGCAGGACATATCCACACTTGGCGACCTCCTCGATCCTGGAACACTCATCTCAGGATAAACGGAACTCAACGAGAATTTTTATTTAAACCCAACCCATCTCTCACGAAATTCACTCTGGAGTTTTGGAAAATCATTCAAACATTTGCCAACGTTTGGATTCCTCAAATATTTATTTTAATGGAACATGTTTCTTGATAATGTACTGACTCTATGAGAATTAGTCAGTGGACTTCAAGTTAAGATATTTTGTCATGCTGTCCATGGACATTCCCTCTTATCATGAAGAAATATTTTAATAACAAAACAAAGATACTAGTAGCTTATAATACTTTCTTATGAAATTCCCTCTTAAATAATATATGGGACTTATGTATCTCAATGAAATAATGATTTATGATAATATGAACCGGAGATGAACTTGTCTCTTCTTTTTTAAATATTTGATACGCATCATTTAAACCATGTCCTAGCTTTTTATCTAAATCACTCCTATATATAAGGTAGCTAGCGTGCGCATTATTTCTGCATTTATATTTTTGCATTATACGTATCATGTTGCAACTAACGTATTATGAAGTATGAAAACTAATTATCCATAGCATCGGCGCACAGAAAATTCCTTGCAATGTTCTTTAAAAGAGGTGTAAAGCGTACTCACCACGGTAGTGGTTGGTGTTGTAGGCAACACGTTCCTGCCATTTTCTTTGTCTTCTTTAGCATCGTCCTTTTTAGGAACTGGATCTGCTTTCACCTCTGTACCGTTAAAACCGTCGGTTATATTCCTAACGGGTCTCTCATGCTAAATGTTTTTATGCAACGTGCAAATCTCATGCAATGGTTTGCTTTTTTACATTTTTTACTACATAACTTTCTTAATATTTTCTTTGTTGTCTGTTAGTATATTACTAATAAATTATGTATCAATGATCGCAAACTGTAAATGCATATATTCACTAATTAAATGAAGAAAAATAAATTAAAAAAATTATTATCATGATATCTTGAGTTAAGTAAATTCTTAATAAGGTTTAAAAATAAGAGACGTAAGATGTGACATTAGTAACTGATAAGATACATGCTCTCTAATGCTACTTAGTTAATAGTCAAGCGGCGAATTCAGTAGTGACATACAAGTCTTAATTGCATCATGTAACTATTGTACGTGAAGAATATGTTTGCGCTAATGTGACTGCATTTGCTAGAGAAGAGAAATTAATGAGAAGCATGGGCATATTATTAATTAACAAAAGAAAGATATACTATAAAAGAAATTACTTCTTTTAGCATATATAGAAGAATAAATTGTTAAAAATGAATTGTATATTAGTAACACACATTGGTACTACTCGAGCTTTTACAGTGTATACTAATAAATGAAAAAAGTGGTAGAATTTACGGTAACAATTTAGTTGAATATATATTAACATTAAGGACATCCTGCGTTTTAAAGTTATTTCAATTGATAATCGATACCAATCGTGGTACATATATTTACAATAATGCCTCCATAAAATTTGCATTTATATTGTCAACGGATATTTGTTCATTAAATCTGTCAGAATATTATTTGTATAATTACATTATAATTATAGATATATACATACATACATACACATACATATATGCATATATGAATCGTAATAGTTGATCTATGTAGAATATGAATGATAAAATAATGACAATAAATGTTTTATTACTCTTAAAATGCATGATTAAATAAATTTTCTAAGTTAATATTAAATATCTAAGTTATTTTTTATAAATAATTATGTTTATATTTGCATAAATGCAGCAATTCTATAAA